CAGGGAAGGATAGAATGGAAGGAAGGGAAGGAAGGAAAGGAAGGAAGGAAGGCGAAGGAAGGAAGAGGAAGAAGGAAGGGAAGAAGAGTAAGGAAGGAAGAAGGAAGAGGAAGAGGAAGGAAGAAGGAAGGAAGGAAGAAAGGACAGAAGGGAAGGAAGGAGAAGGAAGGAAGGAAGGAGAAGGAAGGAAGAAGAAGGAAGAGAAGGAGGAAGGAAGGAAGGAAGGACGGAAGAGGAAGAGAAGGAAGGAAGGAAGGAAATAAAGACGAGAAGAAGGAGAAGAGGAGAAAGGAAGGAAGGAAGAAGAAAGAGGAAGGAAGGTAAGGATGTATTAGGAAGGAAGGAAGGGATACAGGAAGGAAGAGAAGGAAAGGAAGGAAGAGGATAGAAGTGAAGGAAGGAAGGAAGGAAGAAGAAGGAGCGAAGGAAGAAAAAGAGGATCAGAAAAGGGAAGGAAGGAAGGAAGGAAGGAAGGAAGGAAGGAAGGAAGGAATGTAAGGAAGGAAAGAGGTAGAAGAAGAATGGAAGAAGGGAAGGAACGGAGAAGAAGAAGAGAAGGAAGAAGGAAAGGAAGGAAAGGAAGAAGGAAGGAAGAAGGAAGGAAGGAAGAAGGAAGGAAGGAAGGAAGGAAGAAGGAAGAAGGAACGGAAGGAAGAAAAGCGAAGGAAGGAATGAGGAAGGAAGGAAGAAGGAAGAAGAAGAAGAAGGAAGGAGAGAAGAAGAGAAGAAGAAGGAAGGAACGAAGCATAGGATACGAACGTACAGTAACGACGAAGAAACGAACGAACGAACGAACGAACGAACGAACGAACGAAAACGAACGAACGAAACGAAACGAAACTCTAGGGGCTAGGGTCAGGCCAGCAGGCAGGCAGGCAGCGCAGCAGGCAGCAGGACAGGCAGGCAGGCAGGCAGGCAGCAGCGCAAGGCTAGAGAGCAGGCAGCAGGGCCAGGAGCAGGCAGGCCAGGAGCGGCAGGCAGGCAGCAGGCACAGGCAGGCAGCAGGCAGCAGTGCAGGCAGGCAGGCAGGACAGGCATGCAGTGTCTGTCACGCAGGCAGGCAGGCAGGGGCCAGGCAGCAAGGCAGGCAGGCAGCAGCAGGCAGGCAGCGCAGCAGCAGGCACAGGCAGGCAGGCAGGCAAGGCGAGCAGGCAGGCAGGCAGCAGGCGCAGGCAGGCAGGCAGCAGGCAGCAGGCAGCAGGCAGCAGGCAGGCAGGCAAGGCAGCAGGCAGCATGCAGCAGGCAGCAGGCAGGCAAGGCAGGCATGGCAGCAGCAGGCAGGCAGCAGCAGGCAGGCAGGCAGCAGGCAGCAGGCAGGCAGCAGGCAGTGCAGGCAGCAGGCAGGCAGCAGGCAGGCAGGCAGCAGCATGCAGGCAGGCAGGCAGCAGCAGGCAGCAGTCGCAGCAGCAGGGCAGCAGGCAGGCAGGCAGCAGCAGGCAGGCAGCCAGGCAGGCAGCAGCAGGCAGCAGCAGGCAGCAGGCAGGCAGGCAGGCAGCAGGCAGGCAGCAGGCAGGGCAGGCAGGCAGCAGCAGCAGCAGGCAGCAGGCAGCAGCAGCAGCAGGCAGCAGGCAGCAGGCAGGCAGGCAGGCAGGCAGGCAGGCCAAGGCAAGCAGGCAGCAGGCGCAGGCAGGCCAGCAGGCAGGCAGCAGGCAGGCATGCAGGCCAGCAGCAAAGCAGGCAGGGCAGCAGGCAGCAGGCAAGGCAGGCAGCAGCAGTGCATGGCAGGCAGCATGCAGGCAGGCAGGCAGCAGGCAGGCCAGCAGCAGCAGGCAGCAGCAGGCAGGCAGGCAGGCAGCAGGCAGGCAGGGCAGGCAGGCAGGCAGGCAGGCAGGCAGCAGCAGGCAGCAGCAGCAGGCAGGCAGGCAGGCAGGCAGGCAGCAGGCAGCAGGCAGGCAGCAGGCAGCAGCAGGCAGGCAGGCAGGCAGGCAGGCAGCAGGCAGGCAGGCAGCAGCAGGCAGCAGGCAGGCAGCAGCAGCAGGCAGGCAGTGCAGCAGGCAGGCAGGCAGCAAGGCAGGCAGCAGGCAGCAGGCAGGCAGCAAGCAGCAGGCAGCAGGCAGCAGGCAGCGGCAGGCAGGCAGGCAGGCAGCACAGCAGCAGCAGGAGGCAGCAGGCAGGCAGGCAGGCAGGCAGCAGCAGGCAGCAGGCAGCAGGCAGGCAGGCAGGCAGCAGCAGGCCAGGCAGCCAGGCCAGGCAGCATGCAGGCAAGCATGCAGCAGGAGGGCAGGCAGGCAGGCAGGCAGGCAGCAGGCAGGCAGGCAGGCAGGGCAGCAGGCAGTCAGGCAGGATGCAGGCAGGCAGCAGTCAGTGCAGGCAGCAGCAGGCAGGCAGGCAGAGGCAGCAGGCAGGCAGGCAGGCAGCAGGCATTCAGGCAGGCAGGCAGGCAGCAGGCAGAGCAGGCAGCAGCAGGCAGGCAGCAGCAGCAGGCAAGGCAAGCCAGGCAGGCAGGCAGCAGCAGGCAGGCAGCAGCAGCAGCAGAAGGAAGGAAGAAGAAAGAAGGAAGCAGGAAGGAAGGAAGGAAGAAGAAGGAAGAAGAAGAATGAAGGAAGGATCCCCGAAGGAAGGAATGGAAGGAAGAGATCGGAAGAAGAATGGAAGAAGGATCGGAGAAGAATGGAAGGAAGATCGAAGGAAAGGAAGAACGAAAACGATACGAACGAAAGCAAAGAAAGAAAACAGAAAAGAAATAATCAAACACATTTCCTGGGGAGTAGAAAACCCTGACAATCTGCAGGTTTTCAGTCTTACAAAATAAATATTATTAAATTAAAAAAAAAAATCTCATAACATCACTAATATACTCCATTTTAAAAGTATTCACATCTCAGTCAATAACCTGTTTGCCTTCATTAGCTAAAATACAAGCACGATTCAACAGTTATTCACACTCACCTGAGAAAAACTTTTCCAATTTTTGCGGTGCTGAAATTACTTCTGCCTCCTCAGAAACCTTGATGGATAGGAGAGTGAGGAAGTGGTGAGAACTGGAGGACTGTTGGTTTGAGCTGTAAGCGCAATGACAAGGGAGGATACACACCATTGTTGTTGTGGTGGGTGGTGGCGGTGCTGGAGGAGCAGATTGCTGCTGAATTTCCAGTGATGGCACAGGTTGCTGTGGAGAAGGAGAAAAGAAATTTGGTGCATGAGGGGTCATGGAAGAAGTTTGTAATGATTTTGTTTCAGTGGTATTAGATGGACTATCGGAAACAACAGGCAAATCTGGCAAAGAAGGAGTAGTTGATACAGAAGGTGCAATAACAGGTCCCATATCCACACTATATCGCAAATCATCAGCAACACCTGCATAACACACATAAAATATATCAAAAATCTATCTCAGTTATAAATATGATCTTCAAAATGTAAGTAAAAATTTTTAATTTAATAATATGAGTAATATATTTTCAATTTTGTATATTTGATTGTGTAATGGACAAGTAGTCCATAAAATGTATGAATAAAATGATACCCGGCAAATCTGGCAAATCCAGGGGCACATCTATTAATGGCACATCCCCAAGGCCTGGACTGTAGAAATATGAATCAGCCAAAGGTCTCTCTGGTTGATCTCTCTGAGAAATTGAAATGGGAGGAGCTTCTGGGGCAGACTGCTCTTCAAGAAGAGCTTGCCGAGTGCGACTGATAGCACCAAGAGGATCAAGTTGAACATAACGCTGATACCTAAAAACACATTACACGCATTTATATTTCCTCTCATATCTGCTACATGTTTTGTGTTGATCGAACGTTATTAATTTTGAATGACTGAAAGCCATTAGCCACCTGCTCAGACCTTACCTCTAGGGTATGTTGCCAGAGATCACTTTAAACTGGGTAAAAAAGAGTTCTGACTGACTATACAACTGCTTTTCTTAAAGTTCCTGAGTAACCAAATATATGGGGACATTTCTTGATACTGAGTAAATCAAATATATTGACCACATTCCCCTGGGTAACACTGTTTATAAAGAAATTTAAAGCTGCGCTATTAAAATATTGTTGAACATTATATCATTTTCTACATATGCATTATGCACATTAACATATTTTATATTAGTACATCATATGAAATACATTGGAATACATATAAATAAAAAAAGTCAGTAACTGCACTTCTTGGTTTTTTAGTAATATTCAATGAAGTGATCAGAAAATGCATAATAGTTGTACAATGCCACCAAATAAAATAAGATTTGTTTCCATTATTTCCTTAGACAATTAATATTCCACAGCTATGCACAAAGGGTCCTAATGTGTGTGGTGTCTAGCATTGATTCAACTTTTGCAAAGCCTTGAATGTACCCAATAACCATTTCAACAAAATGAATTTGAGATAGAGTAGCAAATAAATAATGGCACAGTAACACTTCAAATTTATCTCTACTCCAGGGCAATATAACACACAATGACAACTGCACAATACACAATGATTCCATGAAAGTTAATTAGAGACCTAATTTTTACCACATTGAAATTCTAATTAAATTAGCCCTTTTACAAAGATTTTTATTTATTAAGTCCAACTTTTACAAGAAAATGATATTTGCTGAATTATCATCAATGAAGAATTTTTGATACTTACCCAGTGTTTAAAATTGTATAAAAGGATAAAATCTAACAACTCTTGCACCATTATGTACCAATAAAGCAGATGAATCAAGATCTTACCAGTGTATACAAGAGTAGAATTCGTTTGTAACAACAAAGAAGCTTGTTAGGATCTAAACAAATACATTGCCATGTATATTTTTAAAAGTCAGGGAGTCATATTTTTGTATTTTATTTTATTTATTTATTTATTATAAATTTATTTATTTATTTATTATACATTTATTTATTATTTATTATAAATTTATTATTTATTTATTTATTAATACAATGGCAGCAGCTACAGCTGATATACACACATCCAATCAAGTTGTACAAGTTTCTATCATTTTCATTACACATATTTGTATGAGATAACCAAGGTAAGCAAGGTATTACAATAATATGTAATACATAATGAGCATGTATAATGAATTACAAAATAAAAGAAAAATAGAGGGAAAAGTTGTAGCAAGATTAATTCATCTCGCCAACACATATTTATCCAAGTAAGTTACAAATGAAGTCGTTGAAGTCTTGGATACACTTTCTGCAGGTAAATTGTTCCACGAGTTGGCCACTCTATTTTTCAAGAAATTGCGTTGTTGCATGTTTCTAGTCCACTCCCTTCTAATTTTTATGCTGTGTCCTCTCAAAATATCTTCGAATGTTTGGATGCCATAAGTCTTATTCAGGATTTTATAAGTCTCAATGACATTCTTTCTTGCCTTCTTAACTCCAATGTCATGTGTCATAGCATCTTGTTTCATAATCCAAGTACGGAAGATCTACGACAATTTTTTCGTTCTTCTTTGTATTTTCTCTAGAGTGTCCATACGTTTTTTGTAATATGGAGACCAAACTGTGCTGGCATATTCCACAATTGGTTTAATATATGTCATATAGATCTCCTTAACTAATGGAGATTTTTAGTTTGGAGAAAACTCTTCTTATAAGGTAGAGTGTGAAATTTGCTTTTCTGGTAACTTCCGCTATTTGGGTTTCCCATGTCAAATGCTCTCTCACAACTACTACCAAATCCTTTTGTTTTGTTGTGGCAGCTAATGTTTGTCCCTGTAACATATAATGGAATCTAGGGTCTTCCCATGTGAAGGACCATGCATCATTGCTATTCAGGGGAAGCAGCCACGTATTTGATCATTCCTTAAGCAACATTAACACATGAGATGTCTACATCTCTAAGTTCACCTAGTCTTGCTTTAATTGCTGGAAGAGATCCATCTGGTTCAGTTGTACCTCTGTCTGGTTCAATACCTCTTGGAAACAGTCTACAAATTCTTAAGCAATTCTTTCAGATTCTGCCACTAATTCTCTTCAAAGTTTTTCCAGCTGTGTGGTTCCGAATGTAGGAGTAAAAACATTTATTTCCCTCTTGCCTGACACCTACATATTTCTCTTCTCATCATGTTTTTGCCGTAAAATCATTATGAATTACCCGATATGCTTTATAATCCTTGGCCCTATCAGTTCTTTTATATTTACTCCGTGCACAGTGTTTCATCCTAGATTGTTTAACTATTTCTCTGCTGATCCATGGTTTATTAAACCCTCTTCTTCTTTTAACTTTTGGAGTATGCACTGAGCAGTTGATGGGATATCTCACAAAATTCATCATAGTCTTTGATTACTTTCCCAGCTAGTAGATTTGTTTCAAGAGTTGCACCTATTATCTCATAGTCAGCTTTGTAATAACTATATCTTGAGGTTTCATCAGCTGTGAAGTTTTCCTTTCCACAGCTATCGATTTACAGACTCATCATTATAACCCGATGATCACTCAAGCCAATTTGTGGTCTTTGGTAAGGTGGTGCAATGATCTCTTCATTTGTTGTCATCACCAAGTCAAGTAATGCAGGGTTTTGCTGTGCTCTAAATCTTGTGGGCTCCTTCAAGAGAAGACTGAGGCTTGAGTTGGTGTAATAATTCAGGAATCCCATTCAACTTCTGTTCTGCCACTGGCTCCATTACCTGTCCATGCAATGCCTGGAAAGTTGAAATCTCCAAAAATCACCACAAGTTTATTTTGAAGACATGTCTCATCCATCATCTGAAAGTGTGCGGTCAGATTTTTTAATGTTAGGGTCTAGATACCACCTATAACCATAACGCTTCAACTTCTGAATACTCAAATTCTCTCACTCTCAATAATATAACTTCTCTCTCATGGAGTTTGGACTTAATATATATTGCCACTCTCCCTCCTCATTTATTTAATCTGTCATTTGGATAGATGCTATATCCTGGGATATCTGGTATGTTTTACTTCAACCATGTCTGTGAGGATAATAACATTAGGTTCTACTTGATTAATTTTTAGCAAGAATAAATCAAATTAAGCTATAATGGAAGATATGTCTGTGCATAAGATTTTTGGATTGAATAGTTTGCTTGTCACTACTGCCTGTTTTTGTTCCTCTTCTTCACAATATGTGGACGTCCCTTAATAAATTTTTATTGTTAAATCTGGATTTTTTTTTGCTCTTCTTTCAATGTATTCCTCAGCTCTTAAATCTCTTCCCCTCTGCATTGGTGTATAGTCATTTTTTATACTGATTTCTGGAGGTGCTTTTTCACTATTTACCAGAATCCTTTTGCTACATCAGGATTTTTCATTATAATTTTGATTGAACAGGAATTATCATCTTTTGCTTTCTCTAACTTTCCGAGTCTGATGACTTTTGCTATCACATTAATATCTTTGCTTTCCATGGATTCAAGCAATCTCTTCACTGCCTCCAGATCTCCATTGATACGCACTTTAATGTTGCTATTGTGGGTCTCTTCGACTCCAAATACAATTATGTTACACTTTCGTAGCATCCGTGAAATCAAATGTGGCTAGTAGCTCAATATCCATGAGTTATACTGGAATCTAAGAGTATAAGATGTATTCAAGGTCCTGAAGGGAAAAAGATGTAATCTATCAATGTTTGAGTTGTACTACTCGACCACAATTCAGAGTAAACTGCAGTCTTATTGCAGTAAATATTTCCATTACCCTAATATGTTGATTGTTTCACTTATGAAACCCCAAATAATCATATATAATTACAATACCTTTTGACAATGAAAATTTATATTTCTTCATGTAATTCCATGTCAACAAAGACTGCAAGCATGCTCTGGTTTATTTACAGTGATGTCATATGTACTCTATCAAAATACTAACAGAAATAAACACAAAAACTAAAAATTCTCGAAACACTCTCACTAATATTCATCTCATTCTTATACTATTCCAAGGAAGAAAAACGAGCTTGGGACAATGTAAAGAATGCAGATTATAAATTATCAACCAGTGATGGCTCTCAGGCCTACCTTGAAGAATCCCAGGCTAAAAGCTGTACAAATTGGATAGTTTTTATTGTATACCCTCATCCACATACAAAGATAATTCAAAAAGTAACAGCAAATTCACAATATTAAATGAACTGAAAACTCCAGGCATTTGAAACATTTGCTAAGGAAAGAAACATGATTTGGGAACGTGTTCACATATGGCAACAGATTACATGACCCATGAAACGCGAAGGACAGTTGAAACAAAACGGTGGTGTCTTTACTTATGTGCTCTGTACAAGAGCAATAAATAGTAAAACGAGTTTTGCAGTCAGATGGCATAAAAACATGAGAGATTCATAGAAGGATTACGACAGAATATGGCAATAGCTGCTTTAGAGAATGAAGACTGGACTCCTGATTTTGGAGCATATTCAGGAAATGTATGAAACAATGAATAGTGCAAAAAAAAAAAAGCAATTTTGGAGAAAGCACTAAAGCTAGCATTAAGAAACATAGCATAGTATATTTTTCACGAGGCATTCATTTCCAACAACACTAATCCCCACCCAGTTGAAATTTCAGATCTTAAAACGTTCCTCTTACAGGGTGGATATTGATCATTTGGATTACCATGCATTTGGACCACAAATATCACTTTGAGAAGATGGCAATTTGAGAGTGATAACATGGAGAAAGTAGTACATTTTAGGTTCAGGGCATCAGCAAAAATGTTTTATCTTTGGAAATAAAACAGTTGGAGCAAGCGTGTAAAAAGTGTTTTGAGAAGCAAATAGATTTTGTCAAAAAAGAAATTCATCTTACATTTATTGAAATATATATAAACTGAATATTTCAATTACTAGTAAAAATAAAATGTATTCTCACGGATTTTCAGAGGTGTTAAATAACAACAGGGATGTAACAGAACCTAAGTCCCATGGTAGGCAGCCAAGTCCTTCTTCAGGAGTAACTTCCAAGTTTTTTCTATGGGATTTACTTCCTAACTTCACATGATAAAATTGAAGCTTTTCCTGTAACACAAGCAAAAAGACAACATTATTTCCAAAACTTAATTTAAGTCCTACAGGCATTTTGACAAATAGTGCTGCAAGCAGTACCAGATTCCTCAAGAGGCATCTACTCAGAGTTGCATTTTGGTAAGGACCCTCATGGACACTTTTTTCAACATTCATTACTAGTTTTATCAATATTTACAAAACTTCTTTTTAAACATAATGTACAAGTAAGCTGTTTATTTTAATTCTCTTTCCCTGCTCTGTTTTATAAAAAATATTAGGGATCACTGAAAGATTGACAGGCCTCCTCTTGCATAAATTCAGCACTGGAAAAAACACACAAACTTCTTCTTAAATAATATAACATTCCCACTCTACAGTAGGAATTTTTCTTTACTGAAATCAAAATGCTCTATTTTCAAAAGTTAGAAAGAAAATACTGAAAATATTGTTAAGGAAACATTGCAAGAGAAATAATGAAATATAATCTAGCAGGAACAGAAAATATAATACATGCCAGTTTCACTACACCAAAAATAAAGACTCAATATTAGAATTTTAGAAGAATGACGCATTCACAAACATCACAGGTCTAGAGTGGCAAATAACAATTTGCAAGTGCAAACCCCTGGCCAACTGACTGCGATGTGACAAGACAAAAAGTTAATGGAGGATTACTTCAGACATGTTCAATGCACAAGGAAGGCTAAGAGATGTGTTGCTAAGAAAAAAGAAAATAAAGAAAGTGAAATATCTATCCATAATTTCTCTTTTATGCTGAATATAAAGTATATTTTAATTTGTTAACTTATAGTTACAATAGAAAATTAATAAAAGCAATATTTTTGAATACATAACATTGTCATCGGGTGGGGTGGACGAGGCTCAAGCCCCTCGAGTCCCAACTTTGGGTGCACAAGCAATGTAAAAAATTAACGAGTGGATGGAATGTGACACATTTTTGGTATCAAATAACATCTCTGTTTACAATCATTTGTAAAGCTTTGTAGCAGAATAAATAATTCAATACACATTTTTCTGTACATCAATATTGCTTTGAAGAAATTATTTGCGAGAATATAGTGTGCTGAATAATGGAATGCAATATGATATCATGCAATATATACTCACACCTAATGTTTTACTCTCCAGAGGTTGATGCTTGCTAGTAATTCTATATGAGAAATTAGGTTTGACAGGAAAATTCTCATTGAAGAGGCCATTGTAACAATCATAATCATTTGACACTGGATATTTTGCACTGGAGAAAACCTGCAATTGTTAACTCACATTGAATTCACATTGGCTATAAAAAAATCAAGCATTCAACAAATGTTTACAACCAACCTTTGTTGACTTATTACTGCCAGTTAATTGTTCTATTTTTGTTCGGACAACATTGCTTCGATTTTTAATTTTCTCCAATTTTGTCTTATTCTCATCGATTCTTTTCTCAATTCGCTGGAATGTATCATTCACACTATTGTTTAGCAAGTCCAGGGCAGAAGCAATTTGCACAAAAGCTTCTTCTTGTCGCAGATCATGATGTATAACAGGGATAGAGAATGTACAACTCATTTTTAATGCTTACAATATGCAGCAAAACTAATTAAATAGAAAAACATATGATAGATCACAAACTGAATAAAATATATCCAAGACAAAACATTATCTAATCTCACTTGTGCGGACAATTTACCATATCATTGCACGCAATACATAAAAAAAAATAAAGCGATTCCATGTGACAAATTGTCACTGTCAAATTGGTTGTCACTTGTCAAATATGTTTGTTTTGTGAAATAAACAGATTGAGTTGGCTACCGTGATCTCGGTGTATATCAAGGAGTTAAACAGGCATATGGATGTACTGCTGCGCAGTCCTAGCCTATCCGGCTTCAGTGAACTTCATGCACCACATTGCGTCACAAGATTAGCGGGAATTTTAAATACAGTCAAGTACCAAACGTTGCAAATAATTGAAAAAATATATGAAACATTTTCTTAAATATTGCATCTTAAGAATCTTTATTTTTTCAAAAACATCTACTATTCCCATTTATCTATTTCGTTTGCCGTCAATTGAGAAATTCCGATAACTTTCATTGCCTTTACAATGTAATAATTGGAGATGAATAAGTGACACATAAATTTCACTTCCGTCCTTGTTACTGTTTGAAATGTTTATTTCAGCAAAAAAATACTTCATTTATTTGTCTGATTATTTTCAAGATGCAAAGCGGGGTAAATGAATCTCTCTTGGAAAATGAAAGCTGTAATTGATACTTCCTTGGGGATTTTCAATTTTATTCGTATTTCAGAAAATAAGAAGAGTACATCACCATTATCTAAATAATACGGGAATACAACACTAACTATTTTTATACCCATTATAATTAATATAATTTTCTATTAAATAAAATGTACTTTTGTAAAATTTGTCAATAAAATAGTGCGGTTTGACGTCTCAAGAACTGAATAAGATTTGGCAATCTCTCCCTTCACACTTAATGCCTTATAATTTGTAATTATACAATAATAACTTTTTAATAAATCATTGAAATATAATGCGTATTATTGAACGAAATAAATATGTCAAATTAAATTAAACATTTTAAATTATGTACTATTTATATTTGTATAACACTTAAATTTTGTTATGTATTTTAAATAATAGTATTTTAAATTGAATTAAAAATTATAAAAAGTCGGCTCCTATACTAAGGGGGCCGAGGCGTAAAAATCCCCTCTTTCGAGCTAACCTGTTCGCTGGGGAAAGGCCCGGAGGAGGGAAAGCGGGCCTGGGGTCGAAGCCCGGACAAGTCTATTGTTCGCACACGCGATGGCGAGTCCCCACGGGCACTCGCCCGGAAGTTATTACAGAACCAAAAGGGAAAATTGCATCTCACGACTGGGGGTTGACCTGCGAAAGTGGCCCCTTTCGAGGTAACCTGCCCGCGGTGGAAAGACCTGAAGCGAGGAAAGCGGGCTCTTTGTCGAAGCCCAGGCAAGTCGACTGTTCGCATACGAAAGGGCGAGTCTGCACCAACATTCGCCTGGAATCTATTCACGCCGCAAATGTGTAATTTTACAAAGTCGGCACCTACACTAAGGGGGCCGACGCGTGAAAATTCCCTCTTTTGAGCTGACCTGTACGCCGGGAAAAACCCCCGAGAGGGGAAAGCGGGCCTGGGGTCGAAGCCCGAGCAAGTCTACTGCTCGCATTCTCGAGGGCAGGGCCTCACCGGCATTCGCCTGGAAGTTATTCAAGCCGCAAATATGAAACTTCACAATGTCCGCACGTGAACAAAAGGGAGCCGGCGTGTTAAAAGTCCCGCTACGGAGCTAACCTGCTAGCCGGGAAAGGCCTCGAGGGGGGAAAGTGGTCATGGGGTCGAAGCCCGGGCAAGTCGACAGCTCGCATACGCGAGGGCAAGTCCCCACCGGCATTCGCCTGGAAGATATTCAAACCGCAAATTTGCAATTTTAAAAAGTCGGCACCCGAACAAAGGAGACCGACGCGTTAAACGTTCCTCTTTGCACCTAACCTGTACGCCGGGGAAAAGCCCTGAGGGGGGGAAGCGGGCCCGGGGTCAAAACGCAGCCGAGTCTACTGTTCTCATACGGGAGGGCGGGGTATCACCGGCATTCGCCTGGAATCTATTAAAGAACCAAAACGGGAAATTCAACGCGTCGGCATGCCACGAGTGGGAGCCGACCAGCGAAAGCGGCCCCTTTCGAGCCGACCTGCTCGCGGGGGAGAGACCTAGAGGGGAAAGCGAGCCCGGGTGAAAACCCTGCCTAGTCTACTGTTAGCGTAAGCGAAAGCGGGTCCCAACCGGCATTCATCTGGAAGTTATTAAAGGACCAAAAGGACAATTTCACCGTGTCAGCAACTCACGACCGGGGGCGCGTTAAAACTGCCCGCCGGGGAAAGGCTCCGAGGGGGGAAAGCGGTTCGAATGCGCACTCGGAGAAAAGGCCCCCGAGAGAACGGCGAAATCGAGTGATAAAAAAAGGAGCCCAAAGGGGCCCCTGTGGAGAACGGCGAAATCGACCAATAAAAAATGGAGCCCAAAGGGGCCCCTGAGTTTAGAAAATGAAAAGCCAACGCCACCCCGGGTTCCCAGGCGGCCACCCCACCCGGTACTGGCAGGGCCCGGCGGCGCTTAACTGCGGTGATCTGACGAGAACCAGTGCTTTCGCCGCGGTTTGGGCGTTGGCCGGAGGCTGTATTTTCCCGCGCCGCGCAAAGTGGCTTCCGAGGGGGCGCGTCACGCCGAGAGCGCCAGATGGGGGGGCGCCTCGACGGCGCGGAGCGCGCGAATATGCAAGGGATAGCAAGGAAAAGCAAAGAGAAGAAAAAAGATTAAAAACACGGAATAAAGGGCGCCCCCGAAACGGAAATTATCAAGCACACACGAAATACTCGCCCGCGACGAAAGAGCACACGCCGAAAACACGAAGCCGAAGCGTGCCCGGAACGGTGTATACGAATCTCCAAGCAAGAGGCTTTGAGCTTCACGGATCGCAGCATTGAGCTGCTCTACCGTGCATACTGCCTCGCCCGGTACATAAGTCGTCTACGGAAGATTAAAGCATAAGCTCGGCACCACCTCGATTCGTCAGGTGCGCGGCGAGAGTAGGAAGAGCCGGCCGCCGCGGGTTTTGGAGTGGTGCTCAGCATAAGCTCGGCACTCGCTCCGATTAGTCTTTCGCCCCTGCGCGCGCGGTAGTTCAAATCATAGGACAAATCATGCTATCGCCACACGTTCACAGTGCACATGCCTCACAAGGCCATCATAATCATAATGCTCAACTTTTTTGCGCGGGCCATATTCCACAGTTTCCAATGACACTTTCGTCACTCTACTGACTCCTTCCGTCATACTGGCACGAGCGGCTTCGCCTACCCGTCCGGCCCTGTCTTCCGGGACACACCTCTTTCTGTATTCCCTTCGGGACGGCGACGACCCTGGAAACGCCTAAAGCCGCGACCGGGGCTCGCTCCAATGACGGAATAGAGTTCGTACACCGGCCCGATCAAAGGCGTTTTTGGATATTGTATGGGGCCGCCTACCACCAGGGACGCCTCCGCTGATGGAGACTCACCCACGACCGAGCATTGCAAGACCCGACGTGAGTCTTAGAAGTGCGACAGTAAGCTGCCTCCCGTGTTTTATTATCGACGCTCCGGCGGGGGTGGGCGGTAGGGATCCGCCTCCCCGTCGTGCACTGACCTCGGTTGGGGGCTAGTCCCCCGGTTCTCTCGAGGCGCCGCGGCAGAGAAACACACCTCCGCGCACGGCTGGCTGAGTCGCCGTTCGGCGCCGCCGCGATGAGAATATTTCCCGCGTTATGTAGCTATATTTTGTTTCTAAAAGAGTAAATTCTTCTCCTAGGGAGTAAAAGACCTTGACGTTGGTGTTGAAGCTTGAGTACCCCCGTGATACCGAGAGCTATGCTGGCGGTAGCGTAGCGTCTCTCTTGCCGGACTGGTCAAAAAGGAGGGGTCAGACGAAGTACTCCAGAAAAGGACGGGGGCGCGAGAAGAGAACATCCGGTACAGTGCGCTGAAGAGGATCTCGAAACGATGAAGAGTTAGGCAGCAATCCTAACCTACATTTCTACCGAGGGATGAAGGGTACGGGTATGATCTAGCCAACAGAACAAGAGGATTCCAAAAGAGATCTGGGCAGGAGGAGCTCATAAGCTCGGTGAAGCCATCCTCCTATGGGAGTAAACCCTAAAAAATCGTGATTCTCCTAGTAGGGGGTTGGGACGACGTGCCAGCTCCTCGTCGTCCATGTAAAAACTAAGAAATGCTAAAAGGCCTAATCATGAGAAAACGGACGGTAACCGGAGACGAACTAGGCAAAGGAAATGGATAATGAATATTGGAACATGGAATACTCAAAGTTTGAGATATAAGATACAGGAGGTAATTAAGGAACTTTAAAATTTTAATATGGATATAGCAAGTTTAAGTGAGACAAAGAAAAAGGGCTCGGGTATAGAAGAGATTGGATCCTATGTTTGGAGCGGAGTACGAAAAGATCAGAGGGTAGTAAAGGGATTTCCATAGTCATAAAAAATAAATTCAAAAAAACATTTTAAAGGTTGGGAAGCTATACACGAGAGGCTGATTAAAGTAAATTTGGAAAGTTGTAGTAACAAAATGACGATTTTTGAAGTGTATGCGCCGAATGAAAATGAAGATACTAGTATTTTAGAGGAATTGTACTCAAAAGAGACGGAGTAATCAGTGAATGTGGGCTAAATAGAGAACGTACCTTATTGGGCGCTTTTAATGCTAGAGTGGCAAAATCTGGGAGTTCAAAAGTGATTGGACAACATGGAGAAGAGGTAGGAAATTCAAATGAAAAATATTGATTCAACTGTGTGAACAGCATGAATATATAATTAGAAACTGCCACTCCCAGCATAAAGATAGGCATATGTTAGGAGATAAAAATAAATTAAGAGGAAAGAGATCAATGATCGATTACATAATCACTAGACAGTATTTAACGGGTAAAGTAATAGACGTCAGGGCACCCGGAGGCACAAAATGTGGATTCAAGCATTACCTAGTGTAGGCCAAAATTATGTTTTCACCCATAAAACAAAAAGACATGGAGATCAGAGAACGAAAGGAAGACAGAAATGAAAATAGCGAAGGTAGGAAATATAATATAGCGGGTATATCATGACCAAGTATAATATATTTATTTCAAAAGAGATTCGATAATTTACTGAATGAAAACTTAGTTGGATCAAATGAGGAGATATATGACCACCTCAAAGATTGTCTACATCAAGCGGCTAAAGAAGCGCTTGGTGAA